GTGTCCCGGACAACGGCCACCGCAGCAATGTGCTGTGCTTACACAGCATCCAGACTTCGCAGATGAGGACAGGAAGATGCACAGAGGCCAAGCGCCAGGAAGTGCTCGAGCAGGAATTGTTTTAAAGATTTATTTATTTTATTTGAAAGGCAGAAAGAGAGAGAGAGAGAGAGAGAGAGAGAGAGAGAGAGAGAGGTCCTCCATCTGCTGGTTTACTCTCCAAATGGCCACACGGCTAGGTGTCTGGGCCAGGCCAAAGCTAGGAGCTTCTCTGGGTCTCCCACATGGGTGTAGGGGCCCAAGCACTTGGCCATCTTCCACTTTTTCCCAGGCCATAGCAGAGAGCTGGATCCGAAGTGGAGAAGCCAGGACTCCAACTGGTGCCCAAATGGGATGCCGGTGCTACAAGCAACTTTACCCATTATGCCACAGCACCAGCCACTTGAGCAGGAATCTGAAAGGATATTCATCACACACTCCGGGAGGGTCATTCCCAACCCTGCCACGTGCCATCTGCATTGCACACCAGGAGAACAGAGGATGGGTGCAAGCCAACTTTGCTGGAACTCTTTTCCTAGGAAATGAGGATGATGACCATGGGACCCTTGAAAGTTCCTACAACACAATTTCAAAGCCATCAGCTCAACCATGTAAGGGCTTGAGGCCACTGGTGAAATGGAAACAGCCGTGAGTGCTGAGCGTCTGTTGAGCTGCGGCGCGCTGTGCTGGGCATCTGACGGCGTTCTCTCACCAGATGCTCCCAGGGAGCTCTAAGGGACGTAGTTGTTGCTCTCAGTTTGCGGGTGAGGAAACAGAGGCTCTGAGGGCAACCATCTCGCCCAAGATCCCGGATAAGCGGGAGGCAGGAGAGCCAGAATTCAGAGCCCGCCTTCTAACTGCTACATTTCATGGCCTGGTGTACAGGTGGAGCTGCTTCCAGAAGCTTCCCTAATCCCCTCTCTGGAACTGTGTCAGTATCATCACCTGTCTCCCTTCCTTCTCGCTGACCATTCTGCCACCAGCAAGGATACCAAATACCTCCTGGCTCCATCCCTTGTGTCTCTCTGAGATCCCTACACAAAGCGTTGTTTGTGAGGCTTGTAGAGGAAGGCCTTTGTCTTTCAGACGGGAGAAGCACCATCTACTATACACGACCTGGCACCTGCTGCCAGACACGGCACAGAGCAGGGGGTGCAAAAATGTCTCCTGAACTAAATTGAGAGCGCGTGAATGAAAGGAAGCAGTCACTGTGTAATCTGGCCATGTTTTGGGATTTCCTAGCTGCCAGCTAACATGATCATTCTCTCCAAGAAGAAACTAGGTCTATGCCAATACCCTTGGCCATCCTGCTAACTTGCCACTAGCCTCAAACTGCTTAAATGAGAGGATATAAAAAGGCAGAAGGAGCGAGGAGGAGGAGGCTCAGCCATAAACTTGTCACTGTGTAGATGAAAGGTGGACTCTCTTCAAATGACGCCGCCGCCATCTAGCAAATAGCAACGGCGTCCTGTACTAGCCTGGAGACTAGAATTAGGTCTTTCCCCAAAAAAACCTTCCTTTCAAATGAGAACAGTAGGTTAGAATTTGTAGTTCTTTCTGTGCAACAAATTTGAGTGTCATAAAAATGGTTAAAAAGTCTTCCTATGGTAGCTTTTTCTAAACTTTTATGAACATCTGCCACATTCATTTGAAGTTTAAAAAATTCTGGCACATATGCAAAGGCATAATAAGGTGCCTATAGCTTTCAAGAAAAAATAACAAGACAGTCAAAAATAAGCCTTTTGCTGAATTGCCAGTAAGAAAACTAGCGTTGCAGGCGAGATGGGCCTTCCCGAGCTCCTTCCTTAGAGAGCTTCCCTGGGCCCAGGCTGGCTCTCTCCCAAGTGTGCCCGTGGTGCCTGGAAGAAGTTGTGCAGGTTGGGGCTGGGGCGGGAAATCAGCTCTCTCCCTCGAAGGGCACAGAACCAGATGAAACCAACAGAAAAGCACAAGCAGGCAGCTCAAGTCTGAATGAGGAGATCAGGATTTGGTGGTTCATGGCTGCTCAACTCACCCAGGGCACAGTGCTTTGTAAGAAAGACTCAGTTGGTGTCAAGAGTGGGGCGACTGCCATTTTTATTTTTCTTTGGGTGTTGACTACACTAGAGTTCAGCGGAGCAGGTTCCTCTCCAGCCTCACTCAACACCCACCTGGGCCAATGCTTCCTACACCTTCTCATGGCAAGTTACTCAGAGGCAAGGCCGAGCAGACCCGCACCAGTTCACCTGGGTGCAGAGGTCTGTCTCAAGTGCCAGTTCCAAGATTTATGCATATGTTGGATTACACGTTTTACTACCGAAGAGCTTACTTCCCATCAGTTACAATTATAAAACAAGTAGAAAATTTACTTCCCCCATCTTTAAGTAACATGCCGGCACTGGGAAACAGAGCTGCCTACTGGAGGGCTCCCAGTTACAGCTCCCCAAACGCCCTGCTCGCAAAGTTTCCGTTCAGACAAGCCCACCTGCTGGACACCCTGCTCCATGCTCGGGGGCTGGGGACACCACCACAAATGATGTACCAGCCTCCTGCCAAAGGAACTCATTCTTCAGGGGATGACGGAGACGGACGGGGAAGCAAACAGCTATCATTCAGAGCAAGATGAGCCATATGTGGATGACGACAAAGTGGGAGGGCTTTTGGAGGAGCTGGGGGAGGGCAGGGGGTGCCCACGCAGAGGGTGGGGATGCAGACAGGTGTAAGGCCCAGCACGAGAACTGGCTGCCATGATGGGGCAGGAGGCACGGCAGCAGCAGAGCACCGGTGTAGAACACAGGCCAGGGAGACGGGAAGGCCAGCTACCCATAGTAGAGCACGGAGGTGAAAGCAACACATTCCACGTGGGACTGAAGTTTATCTTGCACCCCCGGGACCCAGCACCAACAGATGGAACAAAAGAGGCCCTCACTTTGCTTATCGAAAGCATCAGTGTCAATGAAGGCAGTCAGGAGGCAAGAGGATAGGAGGCATTGCAGAGACTTGGTGAGAACTGAGAAAGCGGGGCACCCGGCCACGCTCGGCGTGACCCACGTCAGTGCCTTTGCAGGCAGGGGTGCCACTTACAGGGACCAGGCACTCCGGAAGCAGAGGGGTGGCTCAGAGTGTGTGCAGACAATAAACTGGGGAAGACTGAGTGAGACTTCCGTAGCACAGCAAGGTGAAATTCCAGTGGCACTGGGAACTACGAACCTGAAGTTCAGAAGAGAGGCAGACAGGTGTGGGAGTCACAGCCAAGAGTCGGCAACCTTGACTTAATAGCTGAAGCCAAAAGCCTTGAAGGAGATGACAAGAGGGCACATAGAGGAGGCCAAGCCGGGAAGCTTGGAGAAGGCCGACGGTACTGGGACACAAAAGGGGGCTGCAGAAGCTGTGCCGGAGCCATCTGGAAGGCAGGAGGGGACTGTGGACACTGGCAGACCACATACTCCTCAAGTTTGCATTTCAAACTCTACAGCAATTGGCACAAAACGTCCATTACAAAGTATCTGCTTCTAGTTTTAATTTTTCCATACAGGAGCTCTCTGAATAGATCCCCAAACTTGACAAACAAAGGTAAAACACAGAAGAAATCTCTTCAATCTGATCTAAATACATCATCCGAGATAGTCCATAAACTGTGTACTGTATGTGCTTGGGGCTGGGTGATGACAGGGAGGAACTGTTAACAGAATGTAGGAGCCACATGGCCGTCCTGTCAAATTAGAAATTTGAGCAGATTTCTGTGGTCTATTTTGATCAAGATTCTCAATGTCAAACAAACAGGTTTTTCGATAACCAACTTGTTTCATTTTTGTAAGCACAATAGCACAGCGTGCAACAGTTAGTGAAGAAGCAGGTGGTCCTCGTCGACGTGAAAAGAAGGCAGCAGAAGAGAAGTAGCACTTCCTTGAAGACATGCAAAGCACCACCCCAGACGGCTGTGGCTGTAGATTCTCCCCCAGAGAGCTCACCTCCCGTGTAAAACCGAGCAATCCCCACCCCCACCCCATCTCGCTCTGGTGCAAGTCTCAGCTGTCTCCCAAGGAGGAAGAGGCTCAGGGTCCACGTCCACAAACTCAGGGCACTTAACAAAAGCACAGAAAAGTCCTTTCAAAGAATTGCTCTCTAATTGGTACAGCCATGCCGAAAGCAATCTGGCATCAGATTCATAGCTTTGACCAAGCATTTCTACTTTAAGGATTCTATGCTAAGGAAATAAGTCAAAATGCAGATAGAGGCTTATGCATAAAGATGTTCGCTGAAATGCTATTTATAATAGTGAAAAAAAAAGTATAAACAACCTAAGTGTCCAACGGGAGGAAAATGGTTAAGTTGGGATCTATCCAAATAGCGGAATGACAGGTTAGCAAATTAAAAATTATTACTGGGAGCAGATAAAAACATATTGCAACCCCCATGCCATAATGCTAAGGAAAATAAAGACAACATATCAATTACGCACATTTACACAAAATATGGATTCAAAGAATAAAAACTAGGAGAAAAAAACCCTGGAAAATGCTAACAGTGATTCAATCTGGAATAATGGTAGCGTGGAGGCTTTTAATTTTCTTCTTCATGCTTCTATATGAGGTTTATATCATGTTTCCTACCATGAATAAATGTAACATAGTCACAGCGACTGAGAAAAAAACATAGGAGGGAAAGTGAATGGTTTCCCTTCTCTTCATCATACCCTGGAAGAACCCTCTCCTCCGCCTCCCTGACCCTGGCTGCCTCACCCATGGAGCCTGACAAACTCCAAGCACAGTGGGAAACCCTGGGAACAAGAGCCCAGGGGAACGGGTCTAAGGCACGCTTGGCTCTGAGCACCTGGGGGGAGGCTGCAAGGGAGCTGCTGCTCCCACATGCTCCCGTGTGCAGAGCCATGAATCCTGCGACCGTGTCTTTCCACTGCCACAGAGCCCAACACCCCCCACCCCCCACCCCGTCAAGCGAGCCAGGGAGGAAAGGCGACTTACCTCCATTAAACTTAAATGGATTCCTATGAGGTAGGGCATGGGAGCGCTGTGAAGAGAAACAGAGACACACAGCTGCTTTAATGTCTGTTGCTTCCACCAGAAAATTACAGATGGTTCACTATTTGGAGAGAAACTGTTTTAATAAACGTATGCACAGTTACATTTCCTTTCACAACAAAAATCCTAATATGACATTTTGTTCCCAAGCCTAGAAACTTCACAAGAATTTAAAAATGTGGGCATGGCTGACGGCAAGAGCTTCGGCCTCAGTGTCGGTCCCTAAATGGCGGCTCTGCGATGGCACAGCCTCAGCTGCCTCGTCTTTAAAATGGGAGACTGGGATGGAACCAGCACACTGTTATTAGGATGGAGGGGTATATGTTATCTGCAAAAATACAAACGATTTGTACAGTCTTGCTACAAACAGAAATCATTCTTGCCACAATTGGCACAGAAAAAGCAGCTGAGGGTGAGTGAGGGCTTCACACGTCTCCGGGGAGAATGGGTGTCTGCCTGCTGTTGCCTTATGCTATCGGGGACATGTTCTAAGGGTGCCTTCTGATGAGACCAAGTATCTGGAGAGCTGCATGCACGCCTCCCTCTGACAAAGCCTCCTCCAGCCGCCCTGTCCACAGGGCAACGGGTTCCCTAAGGTGCTGGTGGAACAGCTGGTGACCGTCCAACTCCAGCGGCTTTCAGACCAGGGCGTTCTGATGGACCGGCCCTTCCTCTGGTTTCAGCAGTCTGTGTACGCGAGTGCACACAACATCAAGGATAACGCTGCCTGCTAGTGAGGCACTGCGACGAGGAAGTCAGCTCATCTTTTCTTCTCTGTGTGACACGGTAGGCCGCACCCCCATTCTACAGAGGGGGACACAGAGAGGCCAAATCACTGGCCCCAGTGAGGCCCCAAACCAAGGGAAGCGGTAAAGGAGCACTCTGCGTCCAGAGCAGGCATTTCTTCCACCTGCCACACCCGCTTCGGGACCCTGAGCCTAAAATTCCCGGGCTCCCTGCACGGATAGGGAAGGGGAGCCCGGGAGCAGAGTGGAAGGGAGCAATCGGCAGCTTCTGCATCTACCTCTGCAGCATGTGGCGCGTTCCCTGAAATGTGCAGAGGATGGCTGACGCACCTAGAGGAGAGTCGCTGGGGGTTGGCCAGGCACTTGTGCTCTGGGACAGCTGGAGGGGATGCGGGAGGGTGGAGAGGGCTCTCTGGGGGTGGGGGTGGGGACACAAGGTGGGATTTGCCCCCAGGGCAATACTAAGGAGTGTAGGTGATAGAGGCTGTAAAACATCAGATGCCCATTTGAAAATGACTCAAGCATTTAGCAACAAGGAAAGACACAATTCCCTCACTGACCATTCAGCAAATGAAATTCTTCAAGCAAAAGTGCTCCCTCAGAATATAAACTGTCCTACTTGCTACAGATCCCAGTGGTAAGATACCTTGGGCGCCTGCAGAACAGACTTGAAGATTAGCAGCCTGGTTTGGGAAGTATTCTTCCCAGAGACGCCCGCATTTGATAACGGCTAAAGAAAGAACTGTGCACACAACTGCAGAGCCAGTGGAGCCGTCTTTTCTCTTCTTTTGTTGTCTCCCTCCACTCCTCTCCCCCACCCCACCCCACCCCCGCCCTTTTTGTTTTGTTTTGTTTTTTTGTAAAGGTATTTGTTGTTCACATTCAGCTTCTCTTTGCTTCCAGGGGCAAGAACATGCCTTGCAATATTTTTTCTCCCTTAAACTGTAAACCGTTAGTTTAGCTGCCAGCTCCACAAATGCTCCAACTTCCCAGTGTGCCTGTCTCTGCTGTCCCCGCTTTTCCCAGTGTCCACTGGAATGAATGTGTTTCTAATTAAGTTGCTTCAGGAACACGACAGCTTCAATGTCAAAAATACAAAGTCTGAACCCCGGCAGGAAGTCTTAAGACTGCAAATGTCTCATCTGGTGGAACCTCGCCTGATGGAATGAAAGGAAGCAGGAAGAGTGCAGAGTTCCAGGAAAAATGGCCACTTATTACCGTGCTCAGCTCAGTCTAACACACAGAAGGGGGAAGAGCTCGAATCCCCAACATTTAACTAAATCTTCGCTTTTCCAGCTCTCATGCTTCGACATGTAATTGATCAGCAAACTTGAGTTTTCATTAGGATTTCAGAACTCAAATTCAATGAGTTAACATAAAGAAAAAAAAAACCCTCAACATGAGAGAAAGGTGGAAAGAAAAAACTATGGCAAAAGCGCTCAGTATAATGTAACCACAGGTTTTTATCTGAAAAAGAAATATTTTCTAGAATTTTAAATATGTAGGTTTTAATGCCATGCCCTTTTGTCCTGCAATAAAAATCAATGAAACCCTGAAAGAGAGGAGAACAGAGTCTTATACAAGGGACTGTGTATACAAGAAAGGACAAAGTGGGCCTTGCTCTTCAGGAATCTTTCAATAGGCATGGTTTTTAAAGCCCAATAATTTTCCAAAGAGTAATTATGGCCTATCATAGAAACGCAGTTTCTTAGCCTAGCATTGTTAGGACGGCAATGGCTCTGTATTTAGAAAATATTTAAAACACATTTATTCTCGAATCACAGCAGCTCTGTGTTTGGTATGAATGCACATTTGGACAAATACCTTTTACACTGTCATCATTAGCTTACAAAGCTTCCAGTAATTCCCTGGATCTACTGCATTTTTGCTCTGCAAATATATAATTACAAATTTCAAGTGCAGGGAGGGAGGGAAGAAAAAGAAACCCAGAGACTCCATAAGGTTTCAATGTGGCAAGAATGCACCTGCGTAATTCTAGGTGTGTGGAAAACAATGCCCATTCTCAATATGCCTCAGTAATTACTGCAGCGGCTGACTCATTTTCTTGGAAACCTCTTTTCTTTGCCTTTTTCTCATAAAAAGAAATTTTGGGTAAAAAACAAAACAAAAAAAAAAACCACCTACCCATGATTACATCATCTTAACACAACTATTTCTATTCTTGCATTATTCCTTTCTAATATTGGCCCACTTTAGCAAGTCTATGTTTGAGAGTGCTCGCGTTTTAGAGTTTCCCCACTGGCTATGTTAACATTTCCTTGGTTCTACAATCTTGGTGATTATTATTTTAAAGAAGTCACCTACCCCACCAAGAATGGGTTTACCATCATTTATTGAATTCTATACCTAGAGTGAGACACTTGCTACTATAAGGTACCATTGTAATGAAAATGAACAACTTCGTGTGCAGGAATTCCCAGACAGCGAATGACTAAGCCAAAGGGTAGGACTAGGCTTTATATCTTTTCAATTTCCTGACAGTGCTTTCTAAAAGGGCCCCAACAGAAATCTTTCGGGAATATTGCAAAAACCAGAAACAACTTAGGAGGTGCCCAGCACAGGAGCGGCACGTGGTACAGCTTCTTGTCCCAGCCTTGGCTCTGAAGGAGACCTGGCAGCCTTTGGTGAGGGTGCCCAAGACTCCCCAGGGCACTCTCTGTCCTTCCTGCTCCCAGAGTGCAGCAGGGCTGCCCATCACTGTCCTCAGGAGGGCGCCTTTCTTCTTTAAGGTTCTACCAAGAGCGGAGAGACTACCAAGGGGCAATGGTTCACGGCTGTCAGGTCACTTAGAATGGCAAACTGAAAACCATGTTCTTGGGCATAACGTTAAAAAGAACATGGCGAAAATAAACCGGGCAAGCTATTCCTGAAAATCTCCTTTGCCTCTGAAATCCAACTCATCTGAATCATCTTCTGACTCAGAGTCATCAGCGTCCATGCTTTCCCATAGGCAAATCAAGAACAAAACAAAACAAAAATTCGTCTACTTGAAGCTCTCTTCCTGTTTAGGTTTGAGAAAGAACGTGTCTGACGTTTTTCTAGGAAGATATGAGTACAAATACTTGCCTCACTGAGTCAGCGGGCGCCCTGCTTTCTCTCCCCGGTGCCTTTCAGCACTCACCACTGACTTTCCATTTCAAGGCTGCATCACAGTGCAATTTTGAGACATTTTACACGGCAGTGAAACACAACACGCGCAGAGCCACGATACACATAATTCAATTAAAGTCATGATAACAGGAACAGCCATGACCACATGCACGTGCTGGCAGGCCGTCAACTGTTGCTGCTGCCTGGGAGCAGGCAGTTGAGGGTGCCGCTGTCTGTGTCTGAATGGCAGACCAGGGCGTATCCGTACCAGGCCTTTTCTCCCTTGGAATTACGGCCTGAGCTCATCAGTTCCATCCTGGGAGAATAAAAGCCACTCTTGCTACCCTCTCTCCTGCAAAGGAAAAGGGTTCTGCTGCTGGTGTCCAGGCAGTGACAACACCATGACCCCTACCTGAAAGGTCTATTTAGTTTGAATCCTCCTGAGGGGATAAGCAGCTAATATTTACTGAACAGCTGTAACGTAGCCTGCCCCAACTCCCAAGTCACTTCTATGCAGCAGACATAATTCTCAAGGTTAACTCTGCAAGGTGGTGCCAGCATCCGGATTTGCAGGTTAGGAAGCAGGCTCAGGATGGAGTAACTTGCCCCAGCTCACACAGTTAGTAAGGTGGGAGGCCATAGTGCAAACCTGGGGCCGTGGGACTCAGCACCCAAGCTTAGCCAACGGCATCACACAGTGCACACATCCAGTACTGAGCCAAAGGGAGAGGAGAGGCGACACACCTCCAGAGGGCTCCCTGCCATCCCCCCACCCCCGGCCCCTCACGGGCTCCAGGCCTGTGGTGAGAACAGGCGTGAATATGGATACTGGGGACTTAGCAATGGTCCTGCAGTCCCTGTTCATTATTTCTGCACTTGCACAATTTGCTTAATTCCTTTCCCCTGGATAACGACAGCCCTCTTAATTACGTTCCCCTGAGGTGAGCTGCAACTAATTGGAAATGAGTCAGGTGAAAGAACGGGACACCGGCTGCTCACAGACATCAAATACAGCTTCCCGAGGGCGCGCCCAGCCCTGGGTGGGCAACACCTCCTTGACATCAGCAAGGAACACAGCATAGGGCAGCCCAGGGATCTGCACAGGCCACTGCTGTTCCTTCTGTGCCCCACG